CCCTTCTCCATTATTGTGAATTCAATGTCTTTATACATAAATAATATAGTGAAAGCATCACAAGTTTTGTAGAGGAGCTTTACTAACAGTCCAAAATGTAAACAGTGAGTGAGTGATGAGGGACTAATGAGGAAGAGAAAATCAGTTTATTGCAGGCTGTGGCTCATTGGAAAGATTGTAGTTTTTTTTTTTTAATAGACTTTATTGAGTTTATACACAACACTACAACTTTTCCATCTCCTTTCTGTTTTTAAACCTGGCTGCCATTTGATGCTGAGGTTGCTGAGGGAAGAGGAGTGGGTATCATGTTGAAAGCCAGATTGTTCCAGATTAAATGTGCAGTCAATTGACCCCTTAGGGCTACCCCTGTGTAGCTCTGATTTCTATCTTCATCATTTTCTTTTTTTTAATTAAAAAATTTTTTTGAAAGTTTATTTATTTTGAGAGAGAGAGAGAGAGAGAAAGAGAGAGAATCCCAAGCAAGCTCCACTGCAGTGCAGAGCCCAATGTGGGGCTCAAACCCACAAACCATGAGATCATGACCTGAGCTGAAGTTGGACACTTAACCAACTGAGCCTCCCAGGCTCCCCTATCTTCATCATTTTTAAGAGCTCTATTTTACTCTTCACCTTTGTTTCTGCAGCTAACCTACTGGCCAGAAGAAACTGTAGCTATTGCGTATCAGCACCTTCAACTTCCTGTCCCACATATAAAAACAGACCCACCCATCTTAGCTCTCATCTTAACCTTTTTCCCTGCATCTCTTCAGGGTTCTAACTCCACTACCTCTCTTACATCTCCCACCTCCCACTTATAATGGGGTCTTCCTCCTCTACAAAACCTATTCTTCCCCATTGAAAAGAACGAAAACAAATTCCTAAAGCAACTGCTCTTTACTAGTCTCCCTTCTAGCTACTACACAATCTGATTCCTTTCAAATAATGAATCTTCTCCTAGAGTCACTTCCCACTTCCATTTTCAAACTCAAGTAACGTGCTTTTGTTCCACTCTCCATGGAAACTGCTCTGACTGTAAAGATCACCAGTCTCTCCCCTTACTTGATCTCTGAAGCATTTTGATGTGCTCCGGAAACTCCCTTAAGTACCTGGGACTCCAGTCTGTTCCTTCTCAGTCTCCTTTAACGGCCCCTCGGGTTTCCATCCCCCTTTCAACTTTATCAGAGATT